TCTCTCTCTCTCTCTCTCTCTCTCTCTCTCTCTCTCTCTCTCTCTCTCTCTCCCTTTTCCCTTTCTCTCGAACGCGGCGACGGTATCGACTTGCGCACGGCATCGTCAGAGAGCGATATTAATGAATTACCCCTCGAAATTCCGATAATTAACGCGGCGCGCTTTATTGGATCGGGAAAGCTATTTCGTGCCGAGGTGAAACCTGAATTGGGAGGGAGATTTAAACAAGTGCGCGAGATGTGCATAAAAAAAATCTGTCCAAATCGAACGGTGACAACTGGAAACGATTAATATTCGATACTTTTCTCAGCGGAAAGTCGGTTTTCTTTTTTTTTTCTTTTTTAGTTTCTTGATCAGAGTCATTGAATGTACGGTGTTATTTACGCTTGAATGAACGACGCTCAATCAGGATTTAATCGAACCAAGTCCAAGATGATACCGCACTGTTACTTATGGATATGACATGACTATTTTTGGAATCAGCTTCTAAATAGAGTCGATAAAAAGATATAAATGTACAAAGGACATTGAGCGCGTAGAATAACGATTGAAAAATACGAGAGAGAGAAAGAAAGAATATTAAAAAGAAAAAGAAGCCACATCTGTATGGAAGACCAAAAGAAATGTCTTGAATTACGTCTGTTTGATATACAACGAGATTACGAGGAAAGCGCAAAATAGATGGATCTGTAAAGTAGCGTAATTAGTATGAAACGTGGCTTAACGTTTGTGAACGCTTAAACGCAGGTGCGGAGCGGGAGGGAGATCGAGGAGGATATCTGACTCGGCGTCTTTGAGGGACAAGAGTCCTTTGTCTTGACGACCGTCGCGGTTGAATTGAAGCCATGGATTTGACCGTCGTAATGGTCCACTTCCGCCTTCGGACATTAATTTCGACCGTCTAGGGACGCTTGTGCGCGCCATTCGATAAATCGATAACCACAATAAGAGGGATCCTGCGAAAGATTAATGCCACAAGGATATCCGTCATTCTGGCGGACGATCAACAATCTCACGAAACCCATCTGTGCTAATAACCGCGCGATAATACGCATGAATCGCTTCGTGTTATTGCACTTTTAATTCAAAGAAAAAAAGAGAAAGAGTGAGGGGGAAGGGCATTTAATTAGCGTTATTTGCTCCCGATATGACCGCCGCGCCATAATAATATTTCACGATTAACCTAACCTGACCAGGTTGCACGCAGCCGACGATGTATCACGGCATTAAAAATCACATTCTGGATATCGATGCGATCATAAAGTCGACCACTCCAATCGTTTGTCTATAAATCGTAACGCAATTCCAGACGACGAACATGCACAAGTTATCACTTATCTCGATGATGGAACGGAAGCCATTGAATGAGAATACGCGTGCGGCAATTTTCGCAAGACTAGCTAAGTAGAAAAATACAGCTGCGCGCGCGACTGTCGGAGAACAATCGAATGCGCTATGCAACAATGTCTACACACGGAGCATCTCATGCAGAGAGATCCTGGAGATAAATTATTGAGGCAGATTCAGAATTGTATAAATATTAGGCGACGCACGCACTGGGAGATTCAATGTTATCTTGTGGCATGAGAAAAAAGTAGAGAGAAAAAAGGCAACTGTACGGATACGAGGACGTTTTCCCCGAGTCTCGAAAAATACGAACCGACGTTGGCTCCAAGATACTGATTTGTAGTCTCTCGGGG